ATTGAATATAGTTATCTTTATTTTGTATTTTATATAACTGAAATGATATATACTTTCATTATTTCAGTCATTATCATATAAAATACAAAATAAAGATAACTATTTATTGAATATATGTGTATATGTATATATTAATTAATTGATTAATTAGTTATTTAGTATATTTACTACATAAGGATAAAAGTAAGAAAAGTATATGACATTTTTCTTCAATGATATATATAATATTATATGTATATTTTTTATTTATTATTTTGTCATATTTAGTTTGTATTTATTTGACACCTTGTATACGCCTATGTTTTCTCGGACATTATATTGCAGCCTTGCGACGAAATTTCAGTCGAGGAAACAAGCGCAAGCATCGTTTGTTTACAAACTTCCGATGACACACGTACACAGACCACACGTCAGTGTAGTGAGTCACCACTACAAACAAATGCGTACACACGGACCTACGCGGCATAGGTCCGTAGGCTGCGCCGATAATGTCATTTCATTTTTAGTACCATCGAAATGATGGCGCTTTCGCGTCGGAGTTCGCCCGTCACTTCAGCATCCTCTTAACTATAACCGGCAAATTAAGTATTAGTGATAACGTGACGGACGAATCAGAAAATAATGACAACAGATACTGTGATATTGATTATGCATTATCAAATAAAATAAGACAAATTATTTGTCAATGCTTGAGAGAAAAGTATGACAAGCCAGAAATAAAAAATGTTATTTAAATGGCAACTTTTTTAAATTCGCGATTTAAATCAAATTATTTACCTAAAGAAACAATTAATCTTGTTGTGGCGGTTTACCGCCACACCGCTGCACTGAAGCGGCCTAGTACGCCGCGGCGCCGCAACGCGCCGCAGGGCCTCTGCCGAATTATGAGCCTGCAGATACACCACCAGGTTGCGCAAGCGGTGGGTGTTTACTAGAGTACCTCAAGTAAGAGTACGGACAACAGAACATAAATGAGGCAAAACCGGAAACGTGTCTAAAGAGCGCGCGCATTTTCAAATATGTTCTGAAGGGTAAAACTGAAATTGTACATATAACAATGATTTTATACTGTATAAATGGAAGGAGATATAAATAGAATGAAAGAGAATTGTTTAATTAAAAATAGGATATTAACTATTTTTAATAAATTTTATTTTTTAATTAGATACCTAATATTTATTA